GAGGGGCAGAAGTGATATGGGGGAGTGCGACAGAATTGGGGGAAATCGGGGGGGGGGGGCAGACATAGAAAAGGTGGACGGATAGAGCCTAGAGCCTCCCAGCTGACCCACTGGAGCACTTTTCTCCCCTGTTTAGTGGGTGCGACTGGGGGTCACGCACCCTGCCCAGCGGTACCCCCCCTGGGACCCAGACTGGCAGCCAATCAGATGTTGATCTTGAACCTGCAGCCTCTAGAGCAAAAAACTGTAGAAAAAGTGCAGAAGTGGTGCACTGTCTACACACCTCATAATTAGTGTAAGTGCTTTTCTTAAGGGTACAAAAGCTGGGACCCCCATCCTTCGACATGAACCAGAGCCAATTCGAAACAATTTCCTGAAACCTGCTCGCTCACCTCCAGGCTCTCCCCCCTCCAGTCCCGTTTTGGGTTTCATCGATTAAAAACGTTCCTTCTCGGTTTCAGAGCTGTCACCGGGAAAACAAAAAGAATGGGGAAAGATCTCAGGGCTCCATGTTTTGGGGGGAGGTGGGGGGGCTCCCGAGGGAGGGACGCTGTGTTCCGGAACGCTCTTCAGAAGAGCTTACGGTGCTTTCTCACGATGGGCCAGGGAAACTCCGCCTCAGGCACCCCGCGGGTGGCTAAACCACGGTAAGGACACTGGGGACGCCTTGAGTCTCGACTCGAGCCCCCAAGGGACTTGTGGTCACAGATGAAGCAAGAGCAGACGAGCACAGCCTGGCTCCCCTGGAGGGCGCACAAGTCAGGAAGCGGTTTCATCTCTCGCCATCAGAGGCGGTTTCATCTCCTCAAAGAGCCGGCGCCACAGAGACCAGGCTTCACAAAAACATGTCCAGGAAAATGCTAATATGCTAGCCCTCACAGGAGCCCTCCCCCCCCCATACTGACACTGAGGCCGTAAAAGGAAACAGGAAGTTACCCCCGTGACCCTCCGCGACTCCCACCGACGCAGCTTCCTGCCCACCCCGCCACCATCCAAGGGATGTGTTCCAATCCAAAAAGTATGGGGGGGACCATCTGCAGCAGGAGCGGAGGTCAGGCCACCAGAGTGAGAGTGAGGGGGGGCTCACACAGCGGAGGTGTGACATAATGAGTCAGCTACGCTAACAGATACGATGGATACCAGGCAACCCAAAACAGACCATAACATACCGGAACAGGAGCAACTGCGAGGGCTAAAGACAGCTGTATCGTAACGGGAGCGACAGAGAGGGCTAAAGACCATAATGTAACAGAAGCGACAGAGAGTGCTAAAGACCATAATGTAACAGAAGCGACAGACAGTAACGTAACGGGAGCGACAGTGAGGGCTAAAGACGGCCGTAACGTAACGGGGGCGACAGAGAGGGCTAAAGATGGCCGTAACGTAACGGGAGCGACAGAGAGGGCTAAAGATGGCCGTAACGTAACGGGAGCGACAGAGAGGGTTAAAGACGGCCGTAACGTAACGGGAGCGACAGAGAGGGTTAAAGATGGCCGTAACGTAACGGGAGCGACAGCGAGGGCTAAAGACGGCCGTAACGTAACGGGAGCGACAGAGAGGGCTAAAGACGGCCGTAACGTAACAGAAGCGACAGAGAGGGTTAAAGACGGCCGTAACGTAACGGGAGCGACAGAGAGGGTTAAAGACGGCTGTAACGTAACAGGAGCGACAGAGAGGGTTAAAGACGGCCGTAACGTAACGGGAGCGACAGAGAGGGCTAAAGACGGGCATAACGTAACCGGAGCGACAGAGAGGGCTAAAGACGGCCGTAACGTAACGGGAGCGACAGAGAGGGTTAAAGACGGGCATAACGTAACGGGAGCGACAGAGAGGGTTAAAGACGACCGTAACGTAACGGGAGCGACAGAGAGGGCTAAAGATGGCCGTAACGTAACGGGAGCGACAGAGAGGGCTAAAGATGGCCATAATGTAACGGGAGCGAAGGCTGATATGATTTGTCTGCAGTTGCACCCTCAGAGGTGACCCTCTGGGAACGGATGTTATACACAACATAAACTCAGTTAAATTATGTGGAACCAAACCCCCCCACCCCCCAAATTGCTTTCACAGAACAAAAAATCTAGAAGATACCATATCGCGTCCCAGCACCCATAGTGGATACCTTGCATGTTAGTTTTGAGGGTCTATTTGATGGGTTCACGGGGCATGATAGACTCATGCTTCTCCGGAGGGTGAGTGAGGCCGGCTGGGCCCCTGCCCCCCGCTGCTCGTTTAATGCGGTTTTCACTCACAGAGACTGTATGTGCGGTTCCTGCTGATGACATACGGAGATGATTGGTGGGAAGGGGGAGGTGGTGGAATTATGGGTAAAATCCACCACAGCTGTGGCTTGAGGTGATACCAAAGCATCGACACGGGGTCCATTTGTGTCAGGACGGGCGAGACCACTGCGAAGTGGTGTGGGGTGGTGCATTAAAAAATAAACAAAATAAAATCACACCACTAAACAGCGTCAAAGACTGACCACAGGCGCACACGGTACTGCGATACACAAAGATCCCCAGGGATAGAGCATGTCTATAGACTCATCACCGCGGGAAAAGTCCCCGATTCCAGTAAAGGACCCCCCCCACTCCCCACCGCCGGTCCCATGGTGTCCCACACCGTCTAATTCAGAGGCAAATGAGAAGCATGATTTATGGGAAGACGCCAAGATCAAAAAGTGGCAGACAGTTGGGAAGGTCAAATGCACCGCAAGAATCATCCGGAACATATGTGGGGGGGGAGGGAAAAGATGAAAAACATATCCGCGTGGAGGGGGGAGAGATCCTTACTGCCAATTCCCATGATGCGAGACATGACAGCACACACACACACACACACTAAAAGGGCCTGTGTGCTGCTCCCAGGCCACCACTGTCACATAATGAACTGCAGGTGGCGTGGCGGTGAAGGTGAGAGACTTGCATCCAGTATGTCGAAAGTTCACAGGGGCAGAAGGCATGTGTCAACACTACGGGAAGGGGCTTCAAAGCCCTGCAAAAGACAGTTACCCCCCCCCCCCCCCCCCGTAAGGATGAGTACTGATACAGTAACCAACAGCATAATGATCAAAGGTGACAGTGACATGGTGACCCCACTCAGTGCGGGTTTTAAGGGCCCGTTACGCTGGCAGGGGGCCAGGAAAGTGTACATCATCGCCCTGGATTGAAACATCAGCCAGGGGGAGAAACACAATCAGGCGATGAGCTTCGTCTCCCAGGAAACACTCAGGATGTCCGTCAGCTGAACAGCATGCGGACACGTCACACGGCCCGGCGGCGACCTTCCGGGGTGTCGCCCACCCTCCCCCGAACGCGGGGTGCCCCAGCTGCACGGCGAGCCGCCCCGCGCAACGCAAGGCTGAGGGGGGGCGCCAGACAGGAAGTGAACGCCGCCTGGAAGTACTTCAGCGTTAGCGGGTTAAAGAAATAACATAAATAAGATGCATAAACAGCCTGGCCCCCAGTCCACAAACGCCACGGTTTACTGTAATTGTTTCCTTCAGGGCAAAACCACCCCCCCCCCCACCCCCACCGCGCTAATATCTTGTAATAAAGCCTCTAAGTGGACCAGTAAAGCTCTCATTAAGTTGTTTTTGCTAAATGTATTTTCTGGGGTGTGGGGTCAAAGGTCAGCAGGACGGCCTAATGCACAGCAGCTGCCGCAGGGCCCACGCCCTCCCCGTTACAGTCCCGTGGCAGTTGGGGCCCAACCCGGCGGCCCCCGCATAGCGGATGCGGCATGTTCAGCCTGTGTGAAAATGGGGGGGGGGGCGGAAATCGGCGGCAAGCCACGGCTGCGTCCCAAACACACATTTACCATGGGAAGGGACAAAGTCTTAGGTTTGGTATTGGGAGGGGGCATGCGTTAAAATGTTTGGGTTCCTGGTTATGGCTTCCATGCAACCCTGATCACCCGTGTGTGTGTGTGTGTGTGTGTGTGTGTGTGTGTATCTGCGTGAGTATATGTGCTGTATGTGCAGTGTTCTGGATTCACAGTGAGTACAGATACTCAAACTGCAACTGGATGCATGAGTAAATGTGCAAATATTATAATAATAATAATTTGAAAAGTTCACTTACCAAATGAATACCTGTAAAACAAAGGGAAGGAGAAAAAGATGAATGAGAGAAAAAGCACAGCTACTACACAAAGGGCAGGGGGGAGACACCTCACCCTATCTGCCCTCTTTAAACCTGAGCCTAAGCTCCACCCCCGTGAGAAGCAGGCCAGACCACAATCCAGTGTGGAGGCTGCCCTGCCAGTCGTCATGGTGACCCACACACCAAACAGGCGCAGACCCGGGCTTTTACATTATGTGTTAATTGGGGGGGGGGGACTTGTTCATTACTACACCATTATACAAATATTAGTTTGGGTAATTAAGGGTCTGGGCATTTGCCCCAGCACTCATTAAGCAGAAAAAACATTATGTGGGTTTTGTAATACAGACAACTGTGGGTTTAAATTCATTCAAATGTACCAGGGCCCCTTCAGGGACTCAAACCCACAACCCTTCACCTCTGTCGTTAAGCTATGGTCCGTAAAACCTGCAAGAACCTGTCCCAGCGCCAAACTGACTTCTCCAGAAATCACCCCCCCCCCACCACCACACAGACACACACACACCTCTATTAGAGTCAAAACCAGCTGTCATACAGCATCACCCACCCCCCCTAATTAAATACACACAGATATGATGAGTAAAGACCTCCCCCCGCTCCTAAAGACCACCCCACACAGAAGGCCAAGAGCCCGGGTAACCATTCCTCACACGTGACAGGAGTCTCCATAGGGACAGACCACAAGGCATGCACAGGACAGCCCCCCCCTCCCAACCCCTTCAGGCCTGCTTTTCAATCAGCCATCAACATGCAACTGAGATGACATCAAAGTCAACACCGGTAATCAAAAACAGGACCTAATTTCCATTCATATTTCCTTAAATGGCTTAAAACTCGAAACCCTGATTTTCTTAAAAAGCAGTATTCAGAGGGTATTTCTCTACAAAAGAATAATCTTTATATAACTACAAAAAAAAGAGATGATGAATGAGAGCACTGTAAAGCTGAGAGCACTGTAAAGCTGAGAGCACTGTAAAGCTGAGAGCACTGTAAAGCTGAGAGCACTGTAAGGCTGGGCCGTGAGGGATTTCACTGGACACATTCCAAAGGCTTCTGCAAACTGCAGGACACTGCCAGCTAGTATTACCCATATAGCCTCCGAAAGTGCTCTGCTTTGTGATTTCTCACCAATTCTACTCCACGCACTCAAGATCTTTCATGACTGCATACAACCGCAGCTCTAGATCTCTAACTCTGACCACAAATGACACGAAGAACTGACCAAGTCCTTCACGGCACTCAGCCCGCTCCGCCAGACCAGTGCCTGACAGTTGAGTTTTCAGAGGACCAGTTGGATGCCAGTGGGAGTTGCAAGATTAGCCCCCGACTCCATGTAAAAGGGCAACTACTCTGAATCACCTTCATAAAGAACGTCCAGTTGTATCGGATGTGATGTAAATTTACAGGTCACATTAAATGCAATTAAGCGCATTCTCATGATTTAATCGGACTGATTTGTTTAACCATTGCTTAGGCTGAATTAGAGATTAAGAATGCAGTGTTTCTTATTCTAAGTGCAGCATCAGCCTTCGAGAGCTCAGTGCAGCAACATCATGTGTGAGGCAGTGTTTGGTAACACTTTACTGGAAGGAGCACAAGTTACTAACCATTATGAACAAACATGGGATTAGTACGCAACTAAAACGTTCTGGTTTCTGGTTAATTAATACATTAAGTAAGAGAGTACTGCTGCATTGTTTGTGGCCCCACAAGTAAAGAGTTACCTGGTGTGTTTTCTGTTTATGAACTGGCTCAGTCTGGAGTCACTCTGAAGTCAAGCTGGAGTCACATCGGAGTCACTCTGGACTCACTTGAGAGTCACTTCGTAAACCCATATTTTCAAGGTTGCCGCCATGTGTTTCAGCAGTCAGCACTTACCAGAGCTGGCCCACGTTGACCAGCGAGTGGTACAGCACCCAAAGCAGTGCCATGAGCACCATGTTGGCCCGGCCTGCCAGCAGCACAAAGCCCGACAGTGCCAGGCCAGCCAGGGCGATGCTGTCCAGGTTGGCGTCCATGTCAGCCCAGTCCAGGAACCAGAGGATGGTGGGAGCATAGGCCAGGGCGGCTGCCCCGATCTTCCCGCCCACGTAACGCTTCACGCTCCTCAGGTACTCCTGGCATGGCATCAAGCCCCGGTCACCGATGAGCTGCTTGTTCTGGTTGTAAGCCACGCAAAACGCCACGACTGTGACACAGGGACACATAGGAACGTCGGTCAGTCGGATGGGAGGCCAACGACATCACAATCTCAGGGCTAAATGATGATAATAATGACATTAATTTACATAGGAATGCTTTAACTTCCACATATCCCATGAGACATAGGGTCAGACATTAATGCCAGCATATTTACAATCGTAGACAAATACGCAACAGCAAGTGGAGACTCATATTCAGAGTGGTGGCCACAAAAGGACACCCACAATTTAAAGACTATTCTCGTCCAACTATATAGTTAATATCTTAGTTTTTTCTCAGTCTGCAAAGAGCTGTAACAATTTATGGAGGTAAAACTGGTCAACCTCATATTACCGAGATGAAGGGTCTGTTTCGGGAATTGTATAAATGGTCACATGGGCCGAGAATATTTAACTTAAGAGTTAGGGGTCTTCAAAAGCACGCGCGCGCGTGTTAGTATCGTTCTTATATTGCTCTAGCTGTTATATAAATAAACCTATTTTGAAAAGGGTTCAAGTAGTCAAAAGAATGTACGTGACGGGCAAAGCTTAGCTACCAAAAAGGAAAGCTTGGATTTATATTCAACAGCACTGGATAGTGTCCAAGTTTTTTTAAGTGTATTATTCTATATCTATTGCATTTAGTAAAGAGCGAGAAGGGTAATTATTCTTCAATTGTTTCAGAGTGGGTTAAAGGTAACGCATCACACTCACAGTAAATAAACGCCACGGACCGAAGAATCACAATTCGCGTCAGCCAAAACGTCCCGGTCTGCAAAGTGACGTCACTTGTTTTATCACACTCTGCAGGTCCTTCATTGCCATCTCCATTATTCCGCTTTTCTGTTAGGTGTCCAGACTCATTCGGCGAAACGGTCCGTCTTTTCCTAAGCGCACTCCCAGGGCTGCCCAGCGCCTCTGTGGAAGCTGCCATGTCTCCTGGCGCGCATGCGCTGTTTAGGGGGCGTGTCTGCGCACAGGGCGCCTTGTCATTAGCTGCCTAAAGAGCGTCATCTCTCGGGGCACTGCGCCCCACGTCCCACCCAGCAGGAATAAAAAAGGCAGTAAAATGTATGACTGTATGCTTTAAGTTGCGATATTTACTATATTTACTATAATTCACTGTATACTTCAATTGTATGGGCTACTCAAATGTTTATTGTATTGATTTAGGCCTACAGAGAATATACTGCAAATGGTAGTAAACATTATTGCAAACTTACCTCCTAACTTTGCCGAACTCCTGGTAACAGAGGGGAACAAAATAAATGAGTTAGTGATTCAGTATCGGCACGACGTGGGATTCTAGAGGTGATGTCCGGCAATTTCAGTTTGCACTGTTTTACAATTGCAGTGTTACCCATTTGTTATGAAATCCAAGAAAACCTAGTCTTTCACATGATATCAGGTCATAGTTCAGTGCGTTAGAGATTTTCGGCCCCAACAAAGCACATCATATTGGGCCCCCGACCCAGACCAATCTAATTATGTTTCAATTTTTTTCTTTCGGGGGTCGTTAGAATCATCATAGACCCCCCCCCCCCCCCCATTTGTTATGAAATCCAAGAAAACCTAGTCTTTCACATGATATCAGGTCATAGTTCAGTGCGTTAGAGATTTTCGGCCCCAACAAAGCACATCATATTGGGCCCCCGACCCAGACCAATCTAATTAT